TACATTCATTTGAAAAAGACGTTTTTGGGTAGGAAATGACGTTTTTTTTCAGACCAAGAGGGACGTTTTCTCATGACGAAGACCTGGCAACACTGATCATAACAAAGAAAATAAAATTGCAAGCAGCGCGAGATAAGTGAACTCGACGGGGGCTGCTCACATAACAACGCACCGACTTATCGGCTTGCAGCTGCGACGAAAGCCTGATAAGGTGATGAAATTCGTGTGCAGTCTCAATATTGAAATACGGCCTATCTGTTACATTTTTTTTACTAAAAAGGTACTTGGAGTTAACATCTGTTAAAGGCGCCCAGCGTAGGTCACGCCCACACCCTGAGATAATTATAGCTCATGTTCTACTGACTCAGCCGGGCATAAAAATTAAAAAAAGAACTACACGCTCGCTCCTTATGACTTGCCTTGTAGGGTTTCCAGTTCAAACATGGTGTTGCCTATGGGCTTGACGATGCGACACTTTCTGTATTTGGGGCAAAATTGAGCATTTATATTATTCTTGAAGTCGGAAAGCACATAGTTTCGTCGGTACACCTCTTGACCGGGCCTAAAGTGCACTCCGCGACTTCGTTTATTGTATCGCCGCGCGCTTTGTTCATATGCGGTGTGTAATCTACTTTTAATTTTTTCGCGCAGTAATTGCAGTTTATCATCGCGGTTCACAATATTTGTTTCTACGGCGCCTAACGACAACAATTTCCGCGCAAGCATATAGTCATTTCCCGACGTGAACATGTTCTGTCCGAATAACGCAAAATAGGGCGTAACGCCCTGGCTGCGTGCACCGAGGTGAATTTTGAAAAATGATCCACGACAATGAAAATGTATGCGTTGCCTCTTTTAGACCGCGGGTATTTGCCTAAAAAGTCGACGTATAGTTTCTGAAAGGGCCTGTCCGTTACTACTTCGTTTCCTATACCTCGATTCAAGGTGTAATTATGGGCTTTGCACTGTTGACATATCACGCAGTTTTTGATGTGATTTGCGATTTGGGAAGCCATCCTCGGCCAATAATAAAACCGACGGAGTCTATGCAGCGTTTTACCTATCCCGCCATGCGCCTAACTCTACGGCTCGTATGCTTCGGCTATGAGTGTCGATGTAAGCGATGATGGGATCCACAGATTCCAGGCGAATTCCTGCTCCTCATCACTTTTGGAAAACACGGTACGTTTACAAATATAGCCGCTTTCGATTTTTATATCTGGTAATTTGCTTGTATTTTCTTCAATTTATTTTTTTAGTTCCTGGTATTCCTCGGATTCGAACTCAGTGGTGTCAAAAGATAATACCGGGTATTCGCTGGCAGTAACTTCCTCGATGCAGCGCGAAAGGGTGTCCGCCACAATGTTTTCTGTGCCTTTGCGATGTTCGATCTCAAAGTCATAGCATTGCAATTGAAGCGACCATCGAGCCAGGCGTCCGTTTAAATCACGGAGGGACATCAGCCACTTCAGACTCGCGTGGTCGGTGACCACTGAGAAGGCCATCATTTCCACATATGGGCGAAAACGTTTAACAGCTAATCCGGCGGCGAGACATTCCTTCTCCGTCACGCTGTAATTTCGTTGGCAGCTATTTAATTTTTGCGAGAAGAAGGCAATGGGACACTCCGAACCGTCTTCCTCTTTTTGAAATAAAACTGCGCCTACGCCTAGATCGGACGCATCGCACTGGATGAAAAATCGCTTGCGAAAGTCTGGATGACGAAGTACCGGCGGTGTTGTAAGCGCCTGTTTCAGCGCGTTGAAGGCATCGATTGCGGCTGGAGTCACTACAAATTTTTGGCTCTTCTTGAGGGTATCCGTGAGCGGAGCTGACAGCGCCGCGAAATTATTAATGAACGCCTGTACCACCCAGCAGTACCAAGAAACTTCCGGACTTCTCGTGAGGTTTTTGGCATCGGGATTTTTCGGATGGCCTCTATTTTTGTTGGAACTGTCCTCAGCGCTCCTGCTCCAATGATATACCCAAGGTCTTTTAATTCTTTGAAACAAAAATGTGATGCTTTTAGTCCGATCGTCAAATTTGTTTTCTCGAAACAGATCGCCACTTCTTCCAGCAGTTCTAGATTGAAAGTCCTCCGAGATTACCAAACGATCATCCAAATATACAAAGACGTTCTGCTTAAGTCTGTGTGGCACTACTTTGTCCATTAAACGACATAGCCTTTGCGCGGCGTTACTAAGTCCAAACGGCATAACGCAAAATTGGTAAAGAGGCCGTCCCGGGACAGTAAACACCGTGTATTGCTTGCTATCCGTGTCCAACTCGATCTGCCAGAAAGCATGTTTTAAATCTATGCTGCTTATGTAGTGCGTATGATCGATTCGACTTAGAATGCCTTCGATATTTTGCAGCGGGTAGGCATCTTTCACCGTCAGCGCGTTGAGTTTCCTTGCATCCAAGCAAAATCTGTTTTTACTTAGTTTTCGGACAATAGTAGTTCGATTATTCCAAGGACTCTCACATTCCTCTATCACTTTTAATTTCAGCATCTCATCCAGTTCTTTATATACAAGCGCTTGAACCGCCGGGGACATCGGATAGTGCCTGTCCTTAAATAGCACGGCACCTTTCACAAGTTGGATTGTGTGTTTTTCAACGATCGTCGGGCCAAGGCCGTGCTCTTCGAAACTTCGAAACTTTTGCTTCACTGAGTCAAGCCGTTGGCATTGTTCCGGCGAAAGCTCGTGCATCGCCAGATCCCTTTCAGTGGTTTTCGTCGAGAGTTGGTGGAGTCTCTCAGCTTCCAATTCCGCCACACCGATGATCCAAAAATCAATACCGAAGTATGCGACTTGTTCCAGGTAAGGACATAAGTAGAAAGTTAATTTGCGTCTTGATCTCTATGTTTGACGTTTACCGTAGTTTTGCCCAGTACAGCATGGCTTTGTCCAGAGGCCGACTTCACCGTGGACACAAAGCGTTGAATTTCGAGGTCCAGATCCTCAATTAATTCCCTGCAGCCTTTCCCTAGGATGCTTATCGAGGCACCTGTATCTAGGAGACCCCTAATAATTCTTCCTCGTATTTCTACATCGGCGAAAACGCGAGGGTCGTTTGTATCCGCGCTTTTAACTGCTTCCGCAACGTGGAGGCGTTCCGATCTACGCTTCTGATATCGTTCACGCGCCTTCTGCACTTTCCTGGTTATGCGTCGAGCTCCTTTAAGTTGGTGTTGCTGAAAAATGCGCTGTCGAGCACTATAGTAATGACGTATTCGCTCTTCCAGAGACCTCCCAGCGATCAGTTTTGCGATAGAATTAATTTTTAAGTTAACAAGGGGATTTCGTTTTAATATCGTAATTTTATGCGCCTTTTCAGTCTTTCATCCCAGGTGCTTGCGGACGCTGCTGCTATGTTTTCCTTACAAGGCTCTATTTTTCCGCCGGAGTTTGTTGAGGGCGCGACTCCTCCGGTCTTGTCGCGCTCCGGGCTACGTTTCCCGCCGCGCACTTCGGACATTTTGGAGTTATACATTCCGGCTTGCCACATTTAAATCAGAATATTTTTCGCTGCAGACATGCAATCCGTGAAAGAGTGCCCCTCTTGTCCACAGTTCCAGCAAGTCAGCGGCTTCTTACGCTGCTGGACGGCACGGATTGCCGCGCACATTGGCTGCCAAGCTGGACTCACTTCGTCGACGATGACTTGACCCTCATCGTCATTGAATCGGTGGTCGCTGCAGTCTGGGTAAGCAAGTTCATGCACCTGGTGTGCTCGCTGTTGGTACACTCCGCCTGTCGCTGGCCGATACCGTGTCGAAAAAACTCCGCTCCGCTTCGATACATTCAACTCGCAACTGCTCTACGGTGTGAAACGTCATCGGGTACACCATTCGCGCCAAGAATTCCCGGAGGTTGCATTTGATGATTTTTACGGCCTCGTATTCCGGTATGGGGCTGTGTAGACGCGATCTTAACATATCAATCGCATGGAAAAAGGCGTCGACCGATTCCCCAGGCTGCTGACGGCGTTCGGCGAGATCTCGACGTAGCTCGTAATCGTTACGATGCGAACCGAACCCACATAAGAGCGCGTGCTGCAAATTTGGCCAATCAGATACGTGGTTCGTTTTTATAAACAGCCAGTACCACTCCTGGGCGTCTCCGGCGAGTAGATGATGGAATTCACGCATCATGTCTTCCCATGAGTATCCATACTGCAAACGGAGGTGGCCCAATAGAAAGATGAAATCTTCGAGGGTGATTTTGTCACGTTGGCCTTGGTATGTTAACCCCCATTTATCAA